TTTTTATCTATTTTAAAATTTTCAGATCCAGTTGTTCTTTTTTTGTTGCCTTTTCTCCTTTCTCCCCTGCTCTATTCTTCTCACCCAATACTTAGTATATAAATTTTCTAAAGTAGATTTCGAATAATTTTTATGTCACTCTTTTGCAGCTCCAGCCAAACAGTGCATCTGGAAGTGGGGCTCTGGAGCATGATCCTTCTTCCATTTATTTACGAATACCTGCTGGAGAAGCTGTACCGGGTCCTCTCCCTCTTGGAGTCTCAGTCATCGATGCCTCTGTGGCTCTTTTTGGTGTAGTGTTTCCTCATGTTTCTTATAAACACCGGTTAGTATAAAGCTAATCTGATCATTTTAGTTAAATATAAATTATATTCAAAAAATAGATTTTTCCCATCCCAGGTAACTCTGCAATAAGGCAAGTTACTACCTAAATAATACTTTCATAAATTTACTAACATAAATAACACATACATGATAAAATAAATTGCATGCAAAATCTGGATAATTTGAAACTGTGTTTAAGATTTGACCCTGTTTATTAGCATCTGGTATCATTCTATTGTGGACTATGTTTTGTACAACAAAGTTTTCATTATGGTAGTTTGTTTGACAGTTCATAAATAGGTTTCGACTATATATTTAAACAGGGACATCAGTTTGCTAAGCTGGTTGTTTTTCTTACTGAAGAAGTTTTGTTACTGAGAAGTCCACTCCTAATAACATTTGTCTGTGAGATGGTTCAAGTCTGGAACTTGGGAAATTAACGTAACTGGTTCTTTTGTAATAGAAGTTTTTTGGCTTATTATATTTTGTACCCACAGATGCTATTTCTAATGTTAGTACATGTTTTGTATATTTATGGTGATTTTCCCAAAAGGAAAAGCAAAAATGAATTAATGCAAGAATATTGTTTTATTTGTATATAAATATCAATATATCTTAAATATGTAGGTTATTTGATTAATTGCAATTTGAGGGGCAAAAGATTTAAATGTGAAATTTTACTTTACCCAGATATCTTTAAGATTATTTGGTTGCCAAATAAATGTTAAAGAGCAATAAAGGTGGAAGAATCTTATCTACTTTAACATCCTTGTTTTAAATGTAAGGAAATCCATATCTAAGAGTTTGTCATTTGTCCGAAGTTATACAGCTTGTAACGAGA